GCCGGCCGCCTCGAGCGGGGTGACTTCGGACCCACGACGCAAGCAGAAGCGCCGGGCCATTGAAATTGCGTCGGACAGCTCGGGCTCTCCAAGGTCGGCCCGCAGGTGACGGCTCAGATCGCGGGTCTGCTTCGCAGTTGCCCGAGGGTTGCGCCTGTTCACCCGGGGTTCTTTTAGCGCCCCTCTGCCGAGCTCTGTCGCGTCGCCTGGAACGCCCAGCGGCGCGTTGACCAAGCGGGGGACGGAGCGAATCTGCAACATCTGCTTCGCCAGCGCTGGCCCGTGCTGGGCGGCAATGGCGATCGCGCCGAGGCCGGCCTGAGACGGGGGCTTCGGCGCCGCGCCGACGCCGTCGCGCACCTTGCCCCAGGGCCAGACTGGGCTGGCGTATTTGACGGCGCCCCGATGCCAGCTCTGCTTCTCGCGACGCACGAACTCGTTGACGCGCGCGTCTGCTGGGCGCAAAGCCGCCGCTGGGACACTCGGCGCGCGCCGGTCACCGCTGGGGCGCCATGGGCGCACCGGGCGTTGCAGGTCCACTTTGCCCGACGTAGACGCGGCGCGCCGGCGCATCTGGAGGGGGGCTGCCCGCGCCGCCCGTGCGAGTTGGAGGGCTTTCAACGCAGCTTCGCCCCCGCCGCGGCGTCCGCTTCTGGCGTCTGGCCTGAGCGCCGCGGCGCGGGCCCCCGCGCCGCTGGCCTTCCGCCGGGCCCGAGCGGCCGGTCTGCTGGGGTTGCGCGGCTGCCCGCCGACAGCGCGGAGACGCTGGGCTCGGCCCCCTCGCGCGCCCCAGCGCCTCAGCGGCGGCCGCGCCTCCGCGAGCTCGCGGCGGTGGAAGTCCGTCGGGCCCCGATCAGGAGGGAAAGAAACGCGCCGACGCAATTCCCAGGACAACATGGGAAACTATGGGAAGTGGTTGGGAAGGCAAAAACCCAGCAACTATGAGAAAATAGGGGAATATTTTTACTTGCGCGCATTTATTCGTGCGTCGCAGGCCCCCTTCATCCGAAGGTGCCCGCGGGCAAGAGGGCGCTGGGCCACCTTTGCAGCGCGCTCGGGGGCCCCGCCTCTGCCCGGCCACCAGCGAGCGCGACTGTTTGCGCGGGGGCCGCGGCCGCAGCCGCCGAGGCGTTGCCGGCGGCGGAGCCGTCGCCCGAGCTGCTGGGCACGACGGCGCCCTGAATGCGTGCTCTTGCTGGTTTGGTCCACGCTGCAGAGCCCAGTGGCCGCGGGCGCAAATCAGAGCGTCGCGATTTTCTTCCCGACGTCGGCCCTCCCAGAGGGCACCTGGGGCCCCCCGAGAGGTCGGCCTCTCGGCCGCGCAGCCCTCCGGGCCCCGGCGAGGTCCAGAGGGCCTTCGCCAGCCCCCCCCCTGGGCACCAGAAACAGCCAAACCTCGGTCGCGCGGCTGGCCCTCGGACCGCGGGGCGCAAGCGGGCCAGGAAGCGACGCGCGCGCCGCTGGCGACGAGGCGCTGGCGGCCATCCGCCCCGAACGGCCCATTTGCGATGGGGGCCCTCGGAGGCCGCTGTCGGAACCCGTAGCCGCATTGTCGCGGGCGGCGGCTGTGTGCTCAGGGATCGGCCCGACATGCAGGTCCCCGCGTGCGTTCTAACGTGTTCGTGGGCGCCGTTCGGAATTCTCTGCGGGTCGGCATTGTTGCTCCGTTCCTTGCCCTTTCTGCCCGCCCCTGACGATCTCCCGTGCCCCCCCCGGGCAACGGGGGGCCGCTTGGATCCTCCTTTCGCCTCCTGCGAAGAGCTGATGGGTCCTCGCGGGCCCCCTGAAAGGCTTCGGGCCCCCCTGGGAGGGCTAGTCGGCACGTTTTGTTTTTTGTTTTCCTCGCGCCCAAGACTGCGGCGCCGACTCTGGCCGCGCCCGCTCCTTGTAAAACAGCTGGCTGACCTTTCTTGTGCCGCGGGAAACCAGGCGCCGGCGGCGCGTCGAGGGGGGCCGGGGGGGGGGGGGGGCGCGATGCCTTCGAGAAGCACGGGCGCTTCTGAGAAGCCCCCTCCAGGGGCCGCAGAAGAACCCCCCGGGGGCTTAAAGCGCGCTCCTTCTAGAAGCCACGCCCCCCCCCCTGGCTCTCCTCGGCGAGCCGCTGGGGGCGCCCGCCGCGCGAGGGTCTAATCCGTTTGCCGGCTGCGCCCTCGACGAGCGTGCCGAGCGCGAGCTGATGCGGCCAAAATGGCGGCCGCGTCGTCGACCGCGGGCCGCGCGCAATCGCGGCGAGTTCCCGCGCTGCGATCTGGCGCCGCCGCGGGCGCGCCCACCTCGGGGGCGCGTTGGGCGCAGATGCTCTAGGAACCAGCCGCGCCGACCTGCTCGCCGCAACCCGCGCGGGTTCCCCGGGTCCTGCGGCGTCGCTGTGCAAGGCGGCCCGAGGCAGTTGCCGCGACGAGAGAGCGGCGCGCCGCAGCTCGGTTCCGTGGCCAGGACAGGAGGGCGCGCCGCGACCGGCCTGCGATTCGCGCCCGGATCCCGGATGCTGGGCCAGGTGAACCCTGGCCCCTCGCTCGAAAGCGATTGTTGCGCCCCGGCTGAGTTTGCCGGCGAGTTTGCGCGCTGCTGCCGGCCGAGGCGCAAAATCTCATCGACTTCGCATTGCCACTGCTGCCGCTTAGTCAAAGGCACTTCAAACGTCATGCAGGAGAGGTCCTCGGTGAAAGCTGCGCCGGCCCCGAGAATCACCGCGCGCGTCGCGGAAGCGAGCTGCTTTTCGGCATCCAACTTAATTATCAGGTCTCGGACCGCCCGGCGGGCCAAACCGGCGACCTCGCGCGCGGGGGGGGGAACAGAGCAGGTCGGAACTCTCGCCTCCCCCGCCCCCCCCACGCCTCCCCCCCGCAAGGGGGCGAAGGTGGAGGAGGGGGCGGAGGGCTGAGCGAGCTGACCCGCGCTGCCCCCCCCCGCATTCCGAGCATGGGCCGTCTTTGCCTGGCGCGCGGGCCGCGGGCTCCATGCCGAACAAATCGTCTGCGAAGCGCGGATTGGCGAAATTCCTTGGAACGCGCCTTCGACGCAATGCCAGGCAAGAGCGCTCGACAATGCCCTGGGCGGACAGCAGAACCACTGCGCGCCGCGCTCCTTCCGGGCCGACCCTTCCGTCACCGCCGCTGCGGTAGGCAAGTCCTGTTTGCGCGACGGAACGGTCTTAAGAGCCCCGCTGACATCATCTTTTCGCAGCTCGAGATGCGCCCCGGGGTCTGCCCGCCGGATGGCCAGCGCTACGCCTGCGAAACTGTCCAGAGAATGGCTTGCCAGATGCTGGCCCAAAGGCGCGCGCCCATTCGTATTGGGCGCTGCCAAATCGCCAATTGGGCGCACTTTCCAGCGCCGCTGGCCGCTCTTCAAACGATGGCCTTCGTCGACAGGAAATCGCGGCGTGAGCGCGCAGCCTGGCGGCGCGTCCGCAGGGCGTACCTACCGGGTCTTCCCCGCCGCGACTTCCTCGCCCGTTTTGCGTCCCCGGCTCTCCTGCACCTCGGGGTCGCCGCTCGTTGGTCGCAGGGCGCGAGATGCAACCGCAGCGTTAGGGGGCGGAGCCTCTCGCGCGATTGCTGGTCTAGCGCGAAAAGCCGCCCCTGGAGCGGCAAATTGCGCGGCAGCGGCATTTCCCCTGCGAGGAGGAAGTGCCGCGGGTGAGACAACGTGGTAAATCCACGTCGGGGCTGCCAGGGGCGCGAAGCATTTCGGGCAGCGGCAACGCATTCTTGTCGGGGTTGAGCGCGCGCTGCACGTGGCCAGGCAAACTTGCAAACGTGCGGCGCCAATGCTCGCCCGTCGCATGATTCCGCGTCCTCCAATGCTCTCTCGCCCAACGCCGAAATCGAATTGTTTCCTCGGCATCGAGCGCGCTAGTAGTAACCGCGCCGGCGAGGGCAGGCGGCAGATGAATGCTGCCACTGCGCTGTGGAAGCTGCATGGCCCACTCTAGGTGGCTCATGGGCGACATGCCTCCCGGCCGTTCTGCGTCTGCTAGCAGTTGCTCCACAGCCGCTCGGAGGTGTTGAAGCTCCGCTGACAATCCTGGATGTTCCCGGCCGAAGCTGCCGGCGCTTTCTGCGTCAGAAGATGCCGCGGACTCGCTTTCCTCTCCTTCCGAGTCCTGCCACGGCGCTTCTGCGGCCGTTCACGACCAGCCGTTTTTCTTTTCTTGCCCCACCTTTTCTCGCCCCGGCCGCCCCTGGGGGAGGGCGCGGCCAGAGCCTTTGCGGACTGGCCCTTGCCACCTTTGCCGCTGGCCTTGTCGCTTTCGCCGCCAGCGCGCCGCGGGCTGCGTTCACGTTCCATGCGCGGGGACAAGACCGCCCTGGTGTCTGGCTGCCGCCCGTGGGCCGCGTTGCTGGCGCCGCTGGCGCCCTTGCCCCTTGCAGAGGCCTGTGCCTTGGCAGCGGCGCTGGCAGCCTCCTCTGCTCTGCGCTCGACCTTGGTTTTGGCGTCCGTCAGGGCGTCCTGGTCGACTTCGCAGAGCAGGCGCTGCACTTCGCCGCGTTCATCCTGCTCGAGCTCGCTGGCAAGGCGCAGCCGCATGTGCGCCACCCGGGCGCCTCCAGTGTTCCCCTCGGGCATCCGGCAGAGGATGACCAGATACGTGAACAGGACAGGTAACGGGATCGCCATGGCCATGGTGATAACCATCTTCAGGCCCGAGTCCACAACGTGCGACATGGAGTTCGCGAAGCCGGAAAAGGCCAGGCGGTCCTCCATGTTCCCGGTGCGCTTTGCATTGCAGGCGAAGCGGAACTTGTCCTCCAAGGTGCCGTCTCCGACAAGATGGAGGAGGAGGAGGAGGAGAAGGAGGAGGAGGAGGAGGAGGAGGAGGAGGAGGAGGAGGAGGAGGGGGAGGAGGGGGAGGGGGGGAGGAGGAGGAGGAGGAAGAGAGGAGGAGGAGTGGGAGGAGGACGAGATGGAGGAGGAGGAGGAGGAGGAGGAGGAGGAGGAAGAGGAGGAGGACAATGATGATTTGGGGGAAAGGATCGGAAAATGAGGGGGGACGAGGAAAAGAGGAGGACGAGGTACAGATGCTTGCTCTATCTTCCGTGTCGCGTCTTGGTCGCAGTTTTTCCTGGAAATTGCGAACCGCGGCACCAATTTCGGCAACCCTGCAAGCTTTCAGTCCTGCACTGCTCTGGTTCCTGCACGTTCGCTGCCATCCGCTGCGCTCCTCTCTTACTCTTCCCTCCCTCCATCCCTTCCCTCGCTCCCTCGTCCCTCCCTCCTTCCTCGTTTCCCCCCCCTCTCTTCCATCCTGGCCTCGCTCCTCCCGACTCTCCTTAGGGTGGAACTCCAGGGAGGTTAAATTCAGCCTTGGCGCTGGTATTTCCGCGGTCGAGAATTTTGCTAATCCTGCTTAGTCCCAATGAGTCGTGCTCAATCCCGTTCAATCTTGTCCGATCCTGTTCAGTCGGGTTTGTTCCGGTTTTTTTCCGCGCTGATCTGGCTTGGAGGCGCTTCGATCGGGCTGACATTACCTGGTAAGGCTTCGGGTTGTGTGCAGACAGCCCCCCCGGCTAGTCCGGGCTGGCCTCAACAGGCGTCCCGAGTAGTCCCAGCGGGCCTCAACAGACCCCCGGAGTAGTCGGGAACGGTCTCAACACCACAACCCTGCGGCGCGAAGCACCCTTGGGGCGCCGCCGGAGGCGGCGGCGGCGGGGTGTTGGGACCGTCCCGGACTACTCGGAAGGCCGGTTGAGGCCAGCTGGGACTACTCGGGGGGCCTGTTGATGCCAGTGGGGACTGCCTGGGGTGTGCTGTCTGTGCGCAGCCCGAGGCTTTACCATCCTAACCCTCCCCCGACCCCACTGCATCGAGGATGCGGGGCGATCATCCGACTCCCTCCGACTCCATTTTGGAGGTCTCTATCATCCCCTCAAGGTGTCGGACACCCGTGGGGGTTCATTTGGCTGCAGGCATCCTTCGTATTCTGAACCCCAGCCAGCGTTTCAGCAATCTGACTTGCTGGGTAGGGTCCACACGTGGTTGCCCGGTCTCTTCCTCATCTTGTGGGGGGGAATCATCACAAACACAAGAGCTTTTGCCTTTATGCGTACATGGGAAATTGAGGGGCAGAGGAACATTCAGGAGATGGTGATCAGATATGGGCAATCCCAGACGGAATTAGGGTAGATGATATGTGTGTGTGTGTGTCCCCCTGGCCCCCTTGCACTGCATAGTTCTCCGCCCCCCCTGAAAAGCCATGCACTGGGGAGGTACAGGCAAGTCCCCAAACAGGCCCAAACCCTTATGATCCCGATCACCTCTTCCAGCGATGGTTATTTTTCCGACATAAAACCTACGCGTCGCGTGACATATGTTTCTATCAAGCATAAATCTGAGCGCTTCGCGAATTATAATCGGAGGTGAGGGGGTGAGATCGAAGTGGAACGGAGAGCCCCCCTACCGGGAAATCGATTTCGGTTTCGTGTTCGTGCGTGCCGTGCGTGCGGGCGAGGCGAAGCTGCGTGGGCGGGCGAGAAGAAAGTCTCCTGTGGCTGAGGCGCGGCTGGATCAAATGTCTCCCTTCCGGGCGGCCGGGGCCCCGCGGTGTCCCGCCGGTGTCCCGATGGTGTCCCGTGTGGCTGAGGCGCGGCCGGACCAAATGTATCCCTTCCAGGCGGCCAGGGCCCCGCGGTGTCCCGCCGGTGTCCCGTCGGTGTCCCGTCGGTGATGATGATGATGACGATGATGATGATGTTGACAACGATGATGATGATGGTGATGATGATGGTGGTGATGATGGTGAGTTCGGTAGTGAGCGATAGTGAGATCGAATGTGAGATCGATTGTGAGATCGATTGTGATATCGATAGTGAGGTCGATAGTGAGACCCAATGTGAGATCGATAGTGAGATCGATAGCGAGTTCGATAGTGAAATCGATAGTGAGACCGAATGTGAGATCGATTGTGATATTGATTGTGATATCGATAGTGAGATCGATAGTGAGATCGAACGAGAGGTCGATCATGACTTCGATTGTGAGTTCGATAGTGAGATCGATAGTCAGATCGACTGTGAGATCGATTGTGAGATCGATTGTGATATCGATAGTGAGATCGATAGTGAGACCGAATGTGAGCTCGATTGTGAGATCGATTGTGAGATCGATCGAATGAGATCGATTGTGATATCGGTAGTGAGATCGATCGTGAGACCGAATGTGAGATCGATCGTGAGATCGGTAGCCAGATCGATTGCGAGATCTATTGTGAGATCGATTGTGATATCGTTAGTGAGATCGTTAGTGATATCGAGTGTGAGATCGATAGCCAGATCGATTGTGAGATTGAATGAGATCGATAATGAGATCGATAGCGAGATCGATAGTGAGATCGATCGAGTGCGACGGTGGTCCCCCCCCCCTCGCCTCCTTATCACCCGAAGGGTGGTCTATGCGGTATAATATCACATTGCATGACGGGGCGTGAGGGGTATGGCTTGTTATCGCTGCAGTCTTCCTGTCAAAATATATTCAGAATTCCAGCGAAACGCCACTATTGTAAGCCCATCGGCGGGCCGCTTCGATTTCTGGAGCAAGGCGCCGATGCGTCCTTTGGCATTTTCTGTGCAATGCATCCTGCGATTGATTTTGAATGCTCTCGCCTTCCTCTCCCGAACCTCCACTCCCGAACCTCTCTGGCTCAACGTGTTCGGCTTCTGGCACTTCCATTTGTCGGAGTTGGAGCATTCATTCGTGATGCATCTGATATCGAAGTGCTCCCTCACCTCAAACGGAACGTGCCATTTCAAAACAGAGGACGACTTGGTTTCAGGCTCAGTCAATGCTTTGAACACCCTCGGCGTTCAACAATTCAGAAACGTGGGCCAGCTCAAAAAGAAAGATCCCCCCCCGCGCACGATGGATGCAAGTGCAATTTGGCCTGGGATGCATTTTTTGGGTTAAGCTGAAAGCTTGCCGTTGCCAAAGTGTTTGGTCCTGATTGAAGTGGCTCGGGGGAAAATGATTGATTGCATTGGCAAAGGCAGTGGCAGTGGTGGCAACGCCCAAAACAAGGGCCAGCTTATCCACCAGTAAGGAAGAAAGCAGCGCTTGAGCACAGATGCGCGCGTGGCTTCAAAAGCAAACGTAACCAAGGCTCAACGAACACAAGTGGAGGCGTTCTGAGAAGCGAGCTGGAAAAGTTGAGCAAAATATTGCCGCCCGCGTGGCTCGGGGCACCGCGATTTGCATTAAGAGAAAATGGGCGACGTATACGTCCAAGTTCCCAGCGAAAGCTGGCTATGCAACCGCGCTGTTTCTGAAATTGCCCCACGTCGGCACGTCGGGCCTGACTCGCACCATGGACTTATACAGATCCCGACAATCGGTGGAACGGTGGGAATTCATAGCAGCAGCAAGTATTTGGCTTGAGTCACAGCGTTTCTTTCAGCGGTGCCTGAAGCTCACGCGCGGGGCCGAACGAGAACCTGGCATCCTGTCGTGGACGATATTTGCAATCAGAGGGGGCGCTGCGCATTCCACTGTGGGAAACATGCATGCAACGTGCACGTCTGTGCAGTCGATGCGTGCTTCAGGGATGTTGTCGGAGCCAGGTCAGATCGTCGCGTCGACACTCCATGCCTCGACAAACCCGTAGTGAACTGCACTGGTGACGCAGTCAAGGTTTTGTACATCAAGCACATTCAGGCAGTGGGCGTGCCAGTGTGGAGCTCCGACTGCGGCGACTTGGGCTTCCACCTGGCGCGGTGCATTTTCTCGAGCGATCAGGGTGGCGACGAGTAAGGTGCGGCCAATATCATTGCGGAGGACGTCGCCGGACATAAAAAGCATGGAACACTCGCTTCTTCTGCTTGGGCCACATCGACGCCCTGATCGCAGGGGCGACTGTGCAGCGGCGCGACACTTGCTGGAGTTCACTTGCTACCGGCACGAACACGATTCGCTCAGCTGGGAACAGTCTCCGCTTCGCGCGCGCCTGGAGAGACTTCGGGCCAGATAGCGGCGCGCAAGGAATCGTTCGGCGCCTGCCGCCGCGCCCTTTGAAATGAAGATGGTCTTTTATATTTGCGCGCGAAGAATGGTTTCGCGAAGCTCGACTGCGGCGCGGGCCGCCCTCGGTGGTGAAGATGGCGCTGGCTGAGCCTGGCGCCCGCGTGAAACGGGTGCGCAAGCTGCTCGGCAAGGCGAACGAGCAGAGGGCGAATGCAGACTTGGTGGGATTGGTGTCGACATTCGAAGAGGATGCGAAACGCCTCCAGGAGCGCGAGGGCAAGTTCCAGAAGGCGACCACCACTGGCTTGCGATCAATGAAGTTCTGGTTTTGGTTATGATGCGTCGTCTCGCGCGCGCCCAGATGGGGCGCCGAACATTTTTCCAGATGGCCCAGGATAAAGCAGGAAGCAGGTTCTCAAACGGGCGTGCTCGTCGAACTCCTTGGGTTCAAGGACTATCAGATCCACGGGGGCATCGCGCGCTTGCTCGACGAGGAGTCGGTCGTCGAGGCAGCGGGCGCCAGCGGCGCGGGGCGGGCGACGGGGGGGGCAGACGGCGCGCGCGGGGTGAGTCGCTCGTGAGCCGGGAGTAAGGGCGATGGGTGAATGGGGGAACGCAGGCAACGAGGATGGCAACGATGAGGGTGATAAGGGCGGGAAGGGCGATGGGGGATGAGCAGGGGGGTGAGGGCGTCAATGGAAGAGCCGGTAGGGGGGGGGGGGGGCGGGGGGGGGGGGCAGGAGGACGAGTGGCGGGAGGATTGAGGAGATGACTGCGGGGGAAAAAGGGGTGTCGACTTGCCCCGGGCGCCGCCCGCCCGCCCTGCAGCTACCCCTGGCCGCCCCTGCTCGCAGAGGTGCGGCTGAGCCCGCTGGGGGGGGGCCCGAGCGCGCCGAACCTCAATGATGGCGGCGCGGGCTCGCTGGATCGCAGCGCGCCGATTTCCATCGGCGCGTCGTGCAGCCACGCTGCCGACAGCGCCCTTTCCGATCGTTTTACATGGTTGTTTCGCCTGCCGGCGTCGGGCGCGAGCGGGGGTGGCGCGTCGCCCATGAGCTGCCCGCGGGCGCTGGGGTCGTCGACGACGCGGCCCAACGAGTTCAGTGCAGCGTTCGCGGCGGAATTGAGAGAGGCAGCAGTTGGCGGGGCTCTCTGCAGTCGCTGCTGGACGCTGCTTGCCGGCGCCGCGTCCACCCGGAGGATGTCGGTCCGCGGCGTCGGGGGGTACAAC